GCAAATGTCTAAATCTATATGCTTAATCTCAATATTAATGCACGTGCTTAAATTGGCCGCCCAACAGTTTCAATAGGTTTTTTCTTCTTTATTTTACTTATATTATTATTATTTTATTTATTTATGAAGAAATTAATAAAAATAGGACAACAATTATTTTTGTTGCCAAAATATTACCAAGTGTGAAACCAAAGAGTTAGTAGTCTTTGAAAATGAGTTGACTTTGAATTTCTTTTATTTTACTTATTTTTAAAATATAATTCATTTCCTATTTAATTTTTTAAAAAACTCTAAAAATTAACGACATATTTCCGTTTTCAAAATCGTTCTTAATTTAACATCATCGAACCGTAAAGATTCGAATATCTGATCTCTTAACCGATAATATAACGTTTTACGCTAGTTAAATATGTCGGTGGTATTTTTTTATTTTAAAATTTTTTTTTTCTTCTTCGATGTTTATTATTCTACGAACTTTTCTATTAAAATTTTTCTTCTTAGACTTTTCTTTCTCTCATTTATTTTCCTCCAATAATATATTTTTAAATAAATTAAGAAGAAGATTCAAATACTGATCATTGATTGATGTATGAATTCTAACTAGTTGAGCATACTTGAGTTGGCTTTTGTTCCTAACTTTAATTATATTTTTTTCCAAACACGTCTCTTGTTAATTTTAAAATTTCTCTTCGAGTTCTCTTTCTTAAAATTTTTCTTTTTATTTCTCTCCGTATTAATTTCCTATCTATAATATATTTCCCTACTACCTTTTTCATCAACTTTTGGAAAGAATAGTCAAGACAGTGTTACCAAATATATTTTGAAAGAACATGGTTCCAAGATAGCGGTTATAAGGTAAGGATCTGATCGTATCTCGAGACTGAAACCTATGTTGTGTGGGGGTAGGAGACGTACAAGTTCGCTCTCCGTCGTTTTATATTATTTGAGCATAGTTCTTCCACAAAAGACCTCGTACTAATGGAGAGAGTATTATTTGATTATAAACTCAGGATCATTCTCTAAATTAGCTCGTAAATTTGTTTTATATATTTATTTTAAAATAATTTTCTTAAAATAGTATGCATAAAGAACAAAAGTGTTGGCATCAAACATTCAGACATGTAACACTCATAATGTTTGGTTTGTTGCACATTATTAAGCACATTTAATATTTTCCTATTTATTGGAACTTTTTTGGCAATTTTCCTTTATTTTTTTAATTTTTTCTAATATGATATTTGACTAAATTCAAGAAAATTCCAAGTAATTACTAGCCATACTTGTTTTTCTACTAAGTATGAATTGCTTAGAAAAACCCTTATAATTCAAACGAAATTCCGTGTATATATATATGTGTGTATATATATATATGTGTGTGTATATATATATATATGTATATATATATTTATCCTCGTTTAATTGTTTAACATAATTTCCTTTTAGTGAAACACAACATTCGATAATTATCTGTGTGTTTGGAATAACTGGTGAAAGAAATTTTTTAAACAAAATCGAATTTAGATATGCAATTTGTTTTAAAAAAACAATTTAAAATTGATAGATAAATAATTAATTGAAAATTTTAAAGATATATAATAAAAAATTATAATTAATTATAATTAATTTTTAATATAGTGCTACCAAACAGATTTATATATATAAATAACTAAAAATGTGTGGAATAAAAAAAAACTAAATTAAGATTTAAACTTCTTATTTATTTATTTATTTATTTATTTGAGTTGAACTTATTTGTTATTTATTAGAATTATATATTTTTTTAATTTCATAATAATGCAAATGTCAAGGGATGGAAAATTCAAATAATTATGATAATAGTCAACGGTGGAAAAGGACAAAACATTTTATGACGAAATAAAATGACGTAATAAAGTTTGTGAAGGTGAGCACTTTGTCATATTATTGTAATTAAATTTTGTTTTAAGGTAATTATTAATTTTGGTTAAAATATTATTTTGGTCTCCTTATTTTTAATAATTATTTAATATAATAATATGAGAAAAAATATATTAATAATGATTATTTTTTAAAAACAATTAACATAAACTAATTAATTTTATTAAAAGCAATTGAAGAATAAATTAGAGATGGAGGCATATTATAAGGGTCATGTGTATTTTCTTGGAACTTATGGTGTTAGGAAATTATTACATATTATCCTATTATCCTTGATTGTGACTTTTATTATTATTATTATTATTCTATCGAAATTAGACACTGTATCTTACCGAGACAATCGTGTAGTTAAGAGAAGCTAGAGATGTCCATTTAACTCGTGAGTACGGTTCAAATCGAGCTAGAAATCTCATATAAATGGGAAATGGGGCGGAAGTGAGAATAGATTTCTCGCTATTAGCTTAACGGGACTTGCTACAAGGATTACATTCCCCACGTATATATATTTAAAATGTGCGCGTATATATATATAAAACAATAATAATAATAATAATAATAATAATTAAGTAATTAATTAGGTCAAATGAAGGTGGAATAATTCAGAGGCAATTTCGTGGATTATAATTAGGGTAATTAGGAATTCTAATTTGAAAATTAAAATAAATCAAATCAATTGACAAAATCCACCACTTATTTGAACTTAGACCGTAATAAAATAACTTTTACATTTGAATGAACATTCTCTAAATAAAAATTTAATAATAATTTTTTATACTAATTTCAGCGTAGTTTAATTATAAAAAAATTTAGTTTTTTCATATATTTTTTTAATTTGTTGACTTTTGTTTGTTTGTCAATTCTAACATCAAGTATTAAAATTTTAATTTCATTAATTGGTTGACTTTTAGTGAAACTTGTAATGATTTATTAATTCGTCCTTGATTTTTTTTAATTTTTATCATACCAATTATTCAGCTTTTAAATTTTAATTTAATGAAATTAAAAGTCTAAAATTAAAACTAAGCAACTAAGTCAAGTCAAGTCTTTATAGGTAAAAAAAAAAAAAAAAAAAAAAAA